CGAAAAAATGTCTGAAGGGAACACCAAACATTAAATTTAAAAACTGCGCAGAATTTTATTCTGCACAAAAACTTCATTAAAAAACACAATTTTTTAAAAGAATTTATTACATAGAACTAAATTGCAATGAAATAAGCAATACCCCTTAATACAAATATTAATTATCCTAATAAAAAAAATTAACCAGCCTCCTTTTGCCTTCTCTCAACAAACGTCCAGTATCCAGGAGAAACATTAAATTTAAAAACTGCACAGAATGATCGCCCTCATTTTTCCAAGTGGCAACAGTGCTGAATTTCGACAGTCAGCAGTCCAGTATACAACTGAATGAAAAACTGTTGCCAAAACCACATTTCTAAAAGAACGAAACTATTCAAAATCATGCGATAAAATCAAAAAGATTAAATAAAAGAAATCTGATTCGAATTTTGAAAAAATCGCTTAGAGATGCACTGGCTCTTGTCTAGATGCACCTATATACCAAATTTCGTAGCCCTGGATCTATTAGCTTACGCGCAGCACGAACGAAAGACACACAGACTCTTTCTTTTATTATACGTAGAGATAACGGAGCTCGAAAAAATAAATAGTTAAAGTTAATACGAAGTTATCTAGCTATGGGAAGGGGAGGAATATTTGCGCTGTCGTAAGAGTTGTGTTCGATACTTAACTTCCAATAGAAATCTTGCAGATGAGGAAATTAAAAAAAATCTTTCAAATTTTTCCAGATTAAGTTATGCATAGTAACTATACGGGTAATAGGCACAGACAAGGGTCAATATCACATCAGTTCTCTGTATCTCCCATCTATCTACTGGGCCGATTGACAAAATTCAAATTGCGTTTTTCGAAAGCGCGACTTCGGATATATATTATATTTATACATAGCATTGTTCTAACATAGGTATTTTGAGACAAAATCGGACGTTTTCTGAAATAACATACCAATGTATTTCCATATTTCGATTCTAGGACTCAAGTCATGCCTAGATATTAAATTTTGTAAAATTTGGTGCAAAATTATTTACGGAGAAATTCAAAAATTTATCATGGCGAAATTTTTTCAGTTCGTGGCAAGAGTTATTCACTTGGCGAACTTCTTAACATGTGGCAACCAAATTTTCCTTTCCCTTCCATTATGCCGGAGCAGAAAAAAAGGCACCTTTTTCCTATCTTTTTACATTGTGCATGAGCAGAAAAAAATTCACATCTTTCTGCCTTTCAAATAATTTTAGCAAAGTGTCTAAACTACATGTGATGTTTTATCGCTTTCAACAAACAACAATTTATATATTGGCGAGTTTTTAAAACTCGCCATTATATAAATTTATGTATATCTTCCGAAATTTTGAATAAAAACTGTAACCATTCACTAAACAATATGGAAGTTAAACCATAACCTTTGATAGCGTTACATATTTTTCATTTAATCAGACTGGTAAATGGTAAGTAAAACGATTGCATAAACGAATATTTTTCTTAGCATATCAAAAGAAAATGCTTTATAATATAGGTTTCTCGCTACTTCTGCGTAAAATGAGAGGACTGAGTACAAAACAGCAGAGTACTAATATTCATAACGAGAATTTTTAACTGCAGTTTTTATTGAGAATTTTGATATCTAATAAAAGAAAAGATTAAAATTCTTATTTTTAAGGTAAATTTTAATTTATACTAATCACTATAAATATCAATCAACTGCAGAAATTATGATAAATCAATACGCATCTTTGATAATGTCACGCATTATTCTTAACCTTTTCCATAAGGATTAAAGTCTATCCATTCTTCAAGCATTTATGAGAAAGGTTAGTTCAGAAATCTTCTTAGCGGAGACGAATAAAGGTCATTCTTTTGCTCCTTTCCCATTTACCAAGTAATGAAAATGATCCAAACAATAGAAAGCGAGTTGGTCAGCGATGCGGAGCTAAGTCCTTCTCCGTTAATCAGCTTTACAATTAGGGATTATGGAAGGTATTTCGTGTTTAATTGAATGGATAAGGATTACCTCATTTTCTGGCCACTTAACCTTGTCTGTAACAATTAGACTCTTATTATTCCTATTGTGTACAAACATACTAAGGAAGGCAACAATGGCACTCAATAAAGTTCATTAAACATCTAAAATTCAGAAACAAACATATATGAGAATTGTACAATTTAGCAATACAGTGATACAACGATGGTCTTCTGCATACACATGCTAAGCAAAAGCATTAAAACTTTGTTTTCGTTAAACACAAAGATTCAGATTCTCAATAAAAATTTTATAATGCAGATGATATATAGGACAATCACATTTTGGACACTTTTTCGTAAACAAATATTCTTTGCCAGCATCTTACGTTCTTGTATTTGAAACCTAACTACGGAACTATATTATTAAATAACCTTGTAAGGATTATGTTAATTTTATTAACAGTTAAATTTTGAGTTAAACTTTTTTCCTGTCAAATTCTTAACTTCAACTTACTACTTCCGGCCAGAACGTAAGGAGCAGTATTTAAACCGCGAAGTCTACTTGCTGAGTTAGAGAGAATCAGAGTTTCTGATTTGCGCGCGTCTACCTTTTGGCTACTCTCTCTCTCAAAGCTGTTATTAGGCTCGGGCGTACTCAGGCCCTTGATAAGCTTCGTAGTCAAATAAAGTTAAGGAGCCAACTCGATTAGAATCTTGATAGCTTCAGCTATATCTCTTTAGTTAATCTTAGTTTTAGTTTATTTTTAGTCTCTTAGTTAAGCCAAGTGTCGGCTTTTATTGTACACTCCAAAACGGAGTTTGGTTAAATATTATTGGAATAATAAAGGGTTAGTTACCCTTTCATCTTGTTGTTTCTTGTTACACGAACTTAAACGATTATTCGCTAACTAGTTCTTAAGATTCGTCACTTTCTACAGTAACTGAGAAATACACTAGTGAGAATCTTACAACCTTAAGTAGATATTATATATATAATTTATATCATTTTGTTTTGTTTAGTGCTTCATGCTAATATTTATTAAGGTAATCTTATTTACCAGTTATTGGCTTAAGACATTTTGTGATAATTAATTAAAGACTAGCAAGTATATGTGATTATTTTTATTAATTTTTATACGTGTCATATAAAAAATATTTGACTCCCCCAGAATACGTTTCTAATCCAGTTCGATTCATCTGTCATTAGCTTAAGATTTTTGTAATGCTTAAAGAAAAAAGTTTTATTTAATAAATATATGCGATTATTTTATAATTTTTGATACATATCAAATAAATAAATGCTTGGCTCTCGGATAACTTTTGTATTTTCTAATCTCAACGTTAAATAAAATTTAGGCTTTTAAATTATATGAGACATTTTTCTATTCGTTTAAGCGTATACTTGAAATGATATAATCATTTCGATTTTCATAAAATATAAAACTCAGTCCTATTTTTTATACTTTACCAAACACAAAATCTCAAAGTTTTTCTTAAGATGTGTTATTGATAATTTTTTTTTAAATTACAACACATAATTCTCGTGCCTTAAACCTAAATAATAAAACCTAATGTCTCTATGACTTTTGCAAAAAATAAAAATTCTTTGTCAGGGAAGGATATATTTTTCTTCAGATGAAGTAAATGATTTTACATCAAAATGTTTCCAAAGCCTTTTAACTCTAATTACGCTTAGCATGTTTAATAATATTAGACAAACAAAAGGGGAATCAAATCATTATATTCCATAGACCATTTACTCTTAAACTCGCTATTAAATGTATAAGATTTTTGTAAGGTAATATATTTTGAATAAATGTTTTGTTTCGCGAAAATAGGAAAACTTTCAGGAAATGAGAGAAATAAAATTAATGGACAAAAGCATTTGCATCGTGTATCGAAGAAAAAAAATGTTCTAAAAATTATTATGCATCTAAAAAAAATTATTAATCTTGAAGATTAATGTTAAACTTTCTTAAAAATGGAAACAGAATTCATAAAATTTCGTTAGGTATAATGTTGAAAGGACTTCTGTAATTGTATAGATCTTCCGAGAAGCCATTTTATCTGAGTTCTATCAGTAAATATAGTTTGTTTTAAAATAATGTAATAAATACAATTATTTTAGTAATTTAGACTGTAGGTATAAGTGATTTAGTAAATTAAACCATTAGATTCACTTATCAAATACATAAATTTCTTTTGTATGTAGAAGTCAAAAGCAATGCTGCTCCTGAAGGTTACTTCAAGGACATTCCCAGGTTTAGCATCTAGCTTACTCCATCAAAAGAGAAAAACCGTCTCATTTTAATATTATTCCAAAAGAAAATAAAAAGAGTAAATTTTAGAGAGCCGAAGTACTTTATTTCTAAAACGTAATTAAAAATTAAGGAAATTGGCATAGAATTTTTAATGGGAACAAATTATAAAGTATTGATTTTGGCATCAATTTTTAGGCTATTTTTAAATATTATGGGATGATTGTATCACTAAAAAAAGCTTTAAAAACAGAATAAATTAAGCTACATGAAATAATACAAAGAAATAAATTTATACATCTATGAATTGGTAGAATAAGGAAGGCACAAAACTGAATCAGATTTTCATGTTTCTAACATCAGTTTTCAATTTTTCAACTTCTTACTTAATAATATTCAGTTTTTTTACAGACACAGAAATTTTATTAGATGATAAATAAAATCAACTTTTCGCTTTCTCTCTTGCTTTTTAATAACCTTGATTTCTCAGCTGAGAAACTACAGATTCCTTTTCTTAAAACCGACCTTTTTGAATTTTGAATTGTGGTTGAGCTTAATATGAAAACTCAAATTCTTTTTTTAAGCTTTATTAAAAGCTACTTTTAATAAAGCTTTAAAATTTAAAAGCTACTTTAAAATTTTATGTTGCTCTTAAAATGTGCACTTAATGTGTTTAGAATAGCACTTTTAACTGATTTATAGCGATTACTGTTTTTAGTATTAAAGATTGACTTTTTTTTAGTTCATAATATGCGGATTTTCTTAGGAAATATTTTAACTTACCGGTATACTTTAAAGTTCCAATATCTTTGGATACTGACTTCTTGTCCATGGCTGCAGAGATGGCTTGAGTACTCAGCTGCGTCTGGTAGCTGGGATTCTGTCGCAGCCTGCTTCCCCCTTGCCCCCGCGCAGCCGCGCGAGATTTAATATATGCGGTATTTAAGTTTGGTGAGGTCTACGCATGTATTGACGCACGCCTACGGGTGTAGCGCGCATCGGAACGTCCCACGCCATAATTCCATTGGCGGCAAGAATGTTTCAGCCAAGGAGAAAGGAGGAGTCTCATCTCGAGCTTCTTCGCTCTATTCTACCCATTTTTTCCATCCACCTACGCGAATGCCTACAGTGGCTAACCCCTCTTCTCTTCATTCTTTGTCCCTATTAAAATGTAGCAGAGGAGGGAGGTATGGGATTTCATGAAACTGTGTGCCCGAGGAAAGTCTGATGTGGGAGGATTCATGGAAAAGTTTAGGTAATTCACTCCTTGAAAATTCTTATTTTTCTTTGAAATGAAATTAAAATTAAAATTTCAGTTCAATATTCATTATTTGTTTGAACTTCCTACGCTGTCTATTCCAAATGCAAAAAGCATTATCATTTTCAAAAATATGAATGAAAGAAATATTGCATTAAAACACGTGTTTGTAATACGTGGTTCTAATTGATATATGAATATATTTTCCAATAAATTTTCAAATATGCCTTCATAGAACTTTGATAGCTTACCTTCACCTATCGACTAGATAAAAAATAAATATTAATGCTTCAGCTTATGAGCTTACTAAATGATTTGAAGGAAACGTACCAGTTCACACTAACCCGCAAATGTTTGTAAAGTATTTGATTCAGAAAAAATTCTCTACTTATATTTGTTTAACAAACATCCTGCGACTATATCATTCGCTGATTCATAATTTGAACCACAGAAGAAGCCAAATTTTAACTGCTTTTTACTTCCTGGTACGAAGTAAAAAGGAAGTATCATAATCACGAAAAGTTTCAGGCAGCATATTTCAAAGAAAATATCCATTTTGATTGCTATCGAATGCAATTTAACGATGTTTTTGCGTGTCATCTGTACGTAAGGACAGAATAAAGAATTTTTCTCCCCCCCCGAAAAAAACAATATAAAAAATGATTTAAAATGAATTCTAAAGAGAAATTTTTGTGGCGTCTGTATATACATACGTACGTATCTCGCATAACTCAAAATTGAGTAGTCTCAGAACGTTGAAATTTTGTATATAGGACTGCTATAACTTCGTATTTTGGTTGCACTCGGCCACACCAAACGTATATAAATATATTTATATATATATCCACACTGTTACACGGTTCAATGATCTCATTTTCTTTACTCTTATATGTTTGTAAATTGTTCATTTTGTGCTTTAAAAATAATTGAATTATGTTGTTCTTATCTTCCGGTTAAGGTTTTTATGCCTTTAGTAAATCTGTATGCAATAGAGTTATCAACAATTTAAAAGTTGTTTTAAGTGCGGTAATCCTAATTATTTTGTGAGGACGGGCATGCTTGTTTACATTTCAAACTTGGCAAAACAGCCGATTTGTTTCTAGAAAAACTAAGCTTCTCAACAAAAACGCCTTATTTTATTATTATGAATTAAATCATGCTTAATCCATTCTGGAATTGATTCGCAGAAACAAGTGTTTAAAATTTACCTCGTAATTTTTAATATAGATATTTTGAGTTTTTATGTATTTTTGCCTTGTCGCGAAGAGAGAACTGAATTAATTGCGTGAGAAATACTGAATCATCTGTGAAAAACTGTTTCTTTTTTGTTTTGTTTGCTTAATTTCTTTTATACATCGTTCTAGCTTTATTTATAGTATTTGAATAGGACATGTGGCAAAGATTAGATAATTCTCCAAATGATATAAATTTTGGGCATTGAGTTATAATATGAATGAAATATAACGCTGTTAAGTGAACCTAGCGCCAGAGTGCCGCTATGGTAAACAAATATACTGAATTTTAGAGTGCATTTATTCTATTGCGGTTTATGCGCTGTCGAAGAAGTAGATTTAATTCAATTTAGTTTAATTCAATTTTAAATTAAATGCAAGAAAAAATGCGTATAATTTAATATTCCGTACAAGAAAGTCATGTGGTCTACACATCAGATTTTTTCTTTACTTAACACTACAGTTTTTTAGTTTGTCCATGATTACAATGACACGTGACTACTTCTTTTAAATATGAATTATTTCCTTACTAAATTAATTAAGCATCAGCTGATAAAACATTTTAAGTGGATTTGTGTTTGTAGCTTTTAATGGAATCTTTTTCTTACTTAATTCAATCTTTTTCTTTACTTTGTAACGTGTATATATCTGTAATACGTCTGTGTGTGCTTGCTTGGAAATTTATATTAAGTAACGTTTATGGATATTTAAAAAACATTTTGGCTTTCAGAAGTCAAAAAGGCGTAAATAAAATATATAGATGCTTTATTTTATTATATATTTTCCTGTGTGCATATGTGCGCAAGATTTAATTTTAAAGCCGTATTTTAATGCTGGAAACACTTCTTTTGATGCATTTCGGAGCAAAGTTAAAAAATAAACCATATCTTGAATGGCTTTACTTGTGCATTTGACATTTAAAAATCATCAGAAAATACTTTTCTAAACATTTAGTTTAATAATTAGTTCCAAATTTAGCTTTATTTACTTCGGATTGCGTTCCAGATAATACTGAAAGACCGCTGTGGTTTTTTCTTTTCTTCTGTTGTACTAGATATGAAACTTTTTAAATGCATAATAGTTTCATGGTTTAATTTAAAATTTATTCATTGAAATTTAATTAAATTGGCTTATTATATGCTTTGCAATGGGTAAATTTCTAACTTAAGAACAAATTAATTGTTCAAATGAAACATTTGTAATATGACTAATGCGATTAAAAAGGCAAGTTATTTAACATTTACAGATTTTTTTTATATAGCTTTATTTTTATTCTCGCCCATTTTTTAAAATGCATACAGCTGCCGAAATAGGATCTCTACTAAATTTGACAGTGTTTTAAATTTAGCTTATTTTTAATTTACCTTCCTTTCTAGTTCCTAGATCCATAATACGGAGAATTAAAATACTGATATGATCTTGCCTATCAATAACCATTTTATAATGCTTACAGCGCTGAAAAATAGTAATATATATATGTGTGTGTGTATGTGCCTTCGTATGTGTATATTTAAGAACAAGTACTTACTGACTGGGTATTCTCCGGAAACTCATCGGCAGCGAACCCATTACAGCATTTTTTTGATCATTTAATTATCTCATTATCAAAAACGTTTCCCCGAATACGTCAGAGGAAGGGACCAATGTTACACGCACAGAGAAGGGAAATGAGAAATACAAAAACAAGACGCCTTGGAAAGAATCTACATCTTTGGTTTCAATATGATGCCCAGGCAAAACAGTTTCGAAAATATACGAATATTTTTGGATTTACTTAATTTTACATATATTTTCGACCGGATCGTATACATTTTTAGGTCCATAATAGTTAGGTGGTTATTTCTACTGACCATCATACTGTCCGGAACGATTTTTCTAGCTACATACGGTACTTAACAATTAGTTTTCGAAGCGTTAAATGTAAAATCGTTGTAATAATTCACGTCTTTCAAGTAGCGCTTTTAAAACTCTTAACCTGAAAAGAATTTTATTTCTGATTGTTAGATTTCAAGTTATCTTAAAAATGATTAATCGGTCTTTCTGAGACTTTAAATGCTAACATTTATGTCAATTATCTTAAAAATAATTAGCAAGGATAATTAAATATTTTCAATGCACCGTGAGAAATTCCAAAATTTTTCACTTGTTGAGCTGTTGATAAAAGAAACTTACTTCCCATGTTAAAGTTTCCCTCGAAAACGAGTATGGATATGGATTTCAGATACTTAAGGGGGCTCATACACCTTAAACCCTTATGATCTTCGAATATGTGACTGTTTCAAGAATTGAGATAACATATTTATTTTAAAAGTAATTACTTCCAACTTTTTATGGCTGACTACATAATATAGCTGCTTTCTAAAATCGTAATCAGAAAGTTTGTGTTGCCACAAATATTTTTATGATTTAATCCGCTTTGTGACAAAAAGTTTCGTCCTGTTTTCACCTTGCGCGCACAGTTTAAAATTATCTGTTCCATTATTTAATTCCATAGTTTATATATAGCTTTTATAGCATTTGGAAACTACTGGGAACCAAAAAAAAAACTGAGAATTTCATGTTAAATTTTTATTTTATTTGGAGTTGATTTTATAGAATGTATTTTATTAAAAAATCTGTAATGTTTTCGTGCATAAATTTTTTTAATATTAAAATATTCACCAGATTTTTGGTTCAGCTAGAAAATAGTGCCCATATAAAGAATTCCATCCAATTTCAAGTATGTACCATTAGCCATTTTTAAAATATCATGCGCGCAAGGTGGAAAAAATGAGGCAAAAGTTTGTCACAAAGCTGATTAAATTACAAAAATATTTGTGGCAACACAAACTTTCTGGTTACTAGTTTCCAAAACAGCTATATTATGTAGTCAGCTGTAAAAGGTTGGAGGTAATTACTTTTCAAATAAATAAAATATCTCAATTCTTGCAACAGTCACATAATTCGAAGCTCATAAAGGGTTTAAGGTGTATGAGCCCCATTAATGTTAATAATTATGCATGGGGAAACTCTAATTTACCCTAATAAATGACAATGGCATCGGGACCGTTTTTCCCTCTTATCCCTAGCTTACAACTGAAAACTGTTCACAGAGTAACTTTAAATGCAGGCGATACCATACAAACATGTGAATGTATATATGTGAATATACATGTGAATACATTGCTAAAGGTTACATCAGTGCCTCTCCATATCGTTTGCATTTAAGCATTCAATTCTTAATAGTCAATTCTCAAAGTGTTTTGAACATTTTACGTTAGAAATAATTTAAAAGCATTCAGTTATGAATAATCTTACAAACATTCGATAACCGATCGTTAATTTGTATTTTACAACACATACTATGCCAAAACTCCACAACAGGTAAAAATAAACAAGCAATCACTTACCGAAACACACGCATCAAATGCTTTC